CGCTTGTGTTGTGGGCTTCTCTTCCCTTTGTTCCTGCTAGGCCTCCCCTTCAACCACTATCTCCTTTCGCACACATAATATGACCTCGCTTGTGGTAAAGTAGCCGGCTGCTAGTTCTCCATAACGCTATTCATCCTTTACTGGTGGCTCAGCTGGCGTGCGCGCTGCGGTGGGCTATAAGGAGTCAGTTTTAAGCAATAAGAAGCTGCACTCATTCTAAACTTTAACCTGGAGGACCAGGAGTATGAGTTTGTGTGGCCTCAAACCATCGACCTTTAGTATGAATAGGTGTGAAGGTGCGATGGATCGTTGCGGCACACAAACTGTCGAAGCACATTAGGGTCCAGCCTCATGAACTGCGGCACAATAGTTGAGGTGTTGCCCAAGTTTAACCAACGTAGCTAGTGATGACGAATACGTGTACTGCTTGTCAATGTATAACGGATTTGCGCAGACCTGCTTGCATTAGCTTAGACGCGAGTTATGCGCAATCTGAGCACGGACCCTATTCACGCGTATATTCGGGTGACACGCTGAGCCCTCGAAAACGTACAACGACACGCACACGATCGGGGAACTTAGACGCGCGAGACTTGGACGCACACGAAACAGACGACAAACGCTGCGCACACGTGACCACATGACTTCCACCCACGCACGAGAGGAAACAGGAGAAGACGAAGCGGATTCCTGGGAGCACTTTTCCGACCCAAAAGCCGAATCACAGTTGGAACAACCCTTCATTTTGTGGGTGCATGAGTCACCACGTAGGGTTGGTGAATTGTGAAAGAACATTGTTCACTTTAGCCCAGTCGCGCCCCGACTCGGAGTCAGCTGTAAGCCGTGACGGCGTTTCGCTGACGCGCGACCCCCACTAATTGCGTGCGGGCTGAGTATACCGCGAGGACGCCCGCCACCACGCGGATTCTAATCGCAGATTCTAACTAGTTGCAAACCACGTGCGCAGACCACTCGGCCGCCGGCCGACTCGAAGGGGCTAGATACTGCTACATTGTGGACAGGAATTAAATTCTGCATAACACAACCCACGCACTGGCGTTTGTGGAGCACTTTTGTGGGGATACTTGACGTGCCCGTGACAAGACCTTTCGTAGGGATCGACTGATCCCGCAGTCACAGCTTTCACTAAAGCTGTGGTCACCAGGTATAGCTGGTTGAGCTTCAAACTGGACTTCTGCATTTCGGAACGGGTGAGCATTATGTTTACAGGTGAGGTACAGTCTTTTGTTTAGACGAGCTACGCTTATCGACGTCTCACGCGGTTTTGTAATTAATTTGCTGCTGTTCACGGTTTACAAAGAAGATTCAGCTGAAAAGTTTGTGATACCATTCACAATGGTTGCTGATGGCCTAAGGCTATAGAACACAGCGGGTGTCTCTACACTATATGAGGCCATTTAGTTCCCTGGCTGGCTTGCCGAACAACCTCCTCGTAGTGCCAGCTGGGTGATTCGAACTTCTCCCGTTCCAGCGAACGGTTCGGCGGCATTGTTCCAGGACGTGGTGCGTTTTCGCCTCGCAAGCCTTCTCCCTTTAAAAAGCCACAAAGGTCCATTTAACAACCCTTTGACGTGACGGATGTGACTCGCCACTAAATAAACTCACTGCCCCTTGCCTCTCTCTGAGCGGGATTGTAATTCATGGGTGTGTTGGGCCCCTGGTCCTTTACGGTCCTAAAGGTGTATGAACCACTTGTTTGGTCACCGGCTCCCAACGGGTTGTGATACCCACATATCGCCCTGCTGCTTTGTAGATTAGATCCTGTTCAAAGGCTCGGGGTGGGACCCTTAATACAACCCACTATTTGTGCCTTGTCAACCGGGTAGTATCACGCTTACTGACAAACCATGGATGGATTACGCTACTATGTTCCCCTTGCTATGTCTACTGGCTTCACTGTCTCTGCTGCTGCTGCTGCTGCTCAAGATCCGCTCGCAGATCGTACCATGTCCCGTACTTCAACTTCACGTATGTCTTCCCCGGTCACTGTCAACAACAGCTCACTGGTCGCATCTGACGGAGTGCTTAGCCAGACGCTTGGTGTTCGTTGTCCGGCGGTCACAACATCAGCACACTCAACCTAAGCCAAAACATTCCTTCGTCTTGGTTCTCCATTCGGCCTTGCAGCTTTCAATATACACACTTTGATGCAGATCAGACGACAAGCATGTCTGGTCCGCACGCTTGAGACACTCTCGGTGGACATCTGTTGCCTTTCCGAAACCAAGTTGCAAGACGCCAGTACCGTCATCAGAATGACATATCCGGCAAACCCTGACGTCAAATACTACTTGCGCCTTTCCGGAGACCCAGGGGCCGCCACTTCTGGCCAAGTTGGTGTCGGGGTTGCACTGAGTGACAGAGCTGAGGTCGCTTTGCTTGTCTGGATCCCTGACAAGGGTCGGCTATGTGCAGTCAGACTATGAGGTTCATGTAAGCTAAGTAAGCGTCGAGAGGTTAAGCTTGCCTTGTTTGTCATCGCCGTCTACGCACCTACAGAGTGCAGTCCGGATGCAGTCAGGGTTTGCTTTTACCAACAGCTGCATGAGCTTCTGCGTTGCCAGAGATTTAACGCACGAGTGAGCCGCCTGCCACCAAGCGAGCAGCATCATGGGGGTAGTTTTGGTCATAGCAGCTGATCAGACAATGTTGATAGATTATTGACTTTGTTCTGATCATGGCTTTTTCCTTTCGAGCACAACTTTTCGGCACTCGAAAAGACACACTGCCACCTGGCGTCCGCCTTCTCAAACACAATAATGGTCCCAGCTTGACCACGTGGCAATGATAAGCTGCAGATCACGCGAAAGGGTAACAGACTGCCGCTCGTACTGGTCAACTTGTCTAAACTTCTATCACGCACTGGTTCGTACCAAAATTTGTATGCATTTTGAAGGAGCATCTAGGCGTACGCAATACCGACCGAATGTGGAAACACTGCAACATCATGCGACATACCAGGCTTCTCCGTCAACATTACTTGCTTCATCCTCTGCGGATGGATGTGCATCAAAGACGCTTTAATTTCTGCCAGTACTGTCAGTTGTGGATTTGCTTGTCACCTACCGAAAGGGTGGATCACTACGGCCTTCTTGTCGCATGTGGACACACGCCGCTTGATCCCAACTGACACCAGCTGTAGTGAGGAACGCCGATCTCTGGATCGAGCGTTGCAAAGGATGTTACAGAAGGACCAAGAGACCTGGTGGTGTAAACATGCTAGAGCTCTTGAACTTGCTAATCACTCTGTTAATAGCAGAAAACTGTTCCACCTCATCCGAGCCACGGAAAGTTCTCGATCAGAGTAAGCGAAACAATCAGCGAAGATGATGGCTTCGTAAACACTACTCTTCAATCACGGTTGGAGCGATAGGCCCAAAATTTTCGCTCGCAGTTTTCCTG